ACTAAAGGAAAAGATATGTAAGCTGTAGTCCCTAAGAACAGGTGTTTCAAATTCAGTTTAGATACCTTTGGAGGGTACCTAATGCCCTGAAGTTATTACAAAACTCCCACACTTTTTCAAATTCTATTTTATGAGAAAGAGAGAACAAGAGAGAGAGAGAGGAGAGAAATTGAGAGAATGATCATGCTTCATACCTGTGGGAGGAGAGTAGAGAGGATGTCATAGTTTAAAATATGCCCTGATCTACATAAATGCTAATCAGGTGTTTGGCCAATGCGCATGCAAACGCAGAGCTTCCTCAGAGGAAACCACACTAGTGGGAAAGGCCTGAATGCAGAGGCTTTTCCGTTGTTTGTTTTGGTCACTGCTGCTTTTCTGGCACTTAGAGCTCAGTGTAGTCAAAGGAATGAGTCAAGCAGACCTGGGCCCAATCCTGGGCCCGTCACCAGTTATGTGACCTTGGGCAAGGTAACTTGGCCTCTCTGAGCCTATTTCTTTATTTGCAAAATGGGCTAATAATAGCCATCTCCTATTGTTAGCTGTCAAGATTAAAGGAGAAAAAGTATATAGAGTCCTTGGCCCTGAGCCTGACAACTCAGAGAATGAATCCACAACTGCTGCTGACTGGGCTGAGAATAGCCCCAAGTGCTGCATCCTAAACTCTCCTCCCTCCTACAGGGCCCTGACCTTCGGCCCTGCCCCGTCTCCCCTCTTAACTCAAAGAGAAACAGGCCAACAGAGCTCATGTGGAGGACTTCAGGGGACACTCTGCTGAGGGAGGGAGAGTCAGTAGTTTTCAAACCCAAGAGACAAACAAATAATGGTCCTTTACCCCAGCCTCCTCAGAAGTTTTTCTTTACTTTCTTTCTCCTCAGAGTTCAAGGGCCTTTTTGGAACCAAAATACCAAGATCAAGGGCCTTCTAATAGGCGCAGTTTCAGTTCAATATTTTATTTGCAAGATAAGAGGACAGGAAGAGTGTGCCAAGTTCTGGTCACAGGCAAGCCAGCACGGGCTGAGCCCACATGGGTCGGAGCCCAAGCCCAGGCTCCTTCCTGCCGCCTGGAGTGAGTGTAGGAACAGCCTGGGATCAAATAATGCCCCAGTGCAGGCACGGAACATACAGAGCCACTGTAACAGGACCTCGAAGGCAACAATCCAAAACTCACTTACATATGCGTCTTCTTTACTCTTGGTTTAAAAAAATATCTTAACCAACATAAGGGTAATTCTGTCGACTTGTCAGTGTGGAGAGCATCTCCCCACCCCTGCTCTGGCCTCTCTCCCAATTAGCTAATGTGGCAGAAAGTAGAAGAAGAAGAAAGAAACCTCAGCCTGGTGTGAATTGTGGAACACTTTATTGAACACAAATGAGCAGAAGTCAGCTTTCCTCTCTGAGTTAAGGGCTCCAGGTGCCAGAAAGGAAGTGAAAGGAATTTCTGGAAATGTTTGGGGTGGAGGCAGAAGTTCAAAGGGAGTGAATTTAGAGGGCAAGATGAACAGCCCCTTCTAAAATGTTTCAGATGGTGACAGAAATGAGGGTCCCAGGGATAGGGAAGCAGAGAAAAGGTAGAAAAGCCCCAAGAGTGAGCATGTGCCCAGAACGCTCTCCCAGTGCCAGCCCAGGGCATGCAGTGTCCTCAGAGCCGGCTGGAAGAGACAGCAGCATGCTTAAATGGAAGGTGCCTGAGCTTTTGGCATCAGAGCTGAACTTACTAGCCAACTTGTCAGTCAATCATGTTTAGAGAGGCGATCAGCCACTCGCTAATCATGTGGCTTTGCACTGCTTAGCTGTCCTAACCCTCAGTTTCCTCATCCTCAAAATGGAACTGATAATGCCAACCGCCTCCAGGTGTTAGAGGGATGACATGAAATAAAAAATACGAAAATTCCAACCACCACACACTGGACACACACGAGCTGTGTGGTTCCCTGTCCAAGCACCAGGAGTAACTAACTGATTCCTATCCTTGAGCTTCGCCCAGAACTGCTTTTAAATGCTCCCCAGAGGAATCGGGGATTGGCTCCTGCTCTCCTTGCCAGCACCAGAAGCGATATCGTTGGGGCCGCAGGACTCCATTGCTGATGGAGAGCCACTTCTCCAGGACAGGGCCGAGGGTGACCCATGGCCATCCAGAAAGGACTGCAGCCATGTTAAGCCTAACCCGCTCGTGAGGCAAGGCCCTGGGCCAGAGGCCTCCTCCCCAGAAGCTGTCACCTTCTCCTGGTTTTCCAGCTGCCTCTCGTCCAGTGGACACCTTAAAATTCCTGAGGGCAAGCCCAGATATTAGGTGTCTGTGGCTTTCCAGGATTTTCTGAAAGTGAGGACGGGACCTCCTAACCCATCCACAGTATTGAGTCCCAGGCCAACCAAAATTATCCAAGCTATTTATGGCCCATTCTTAATGGTGGAGCTTGAAAAAATCAAAACCAAGAGCATTTGAGTTCCACTCTTTTAAAAATGGTAAGGAAAATAACAATCTATCTAAAAGCTGATCAAAGGCTGGACACCCCCTTCCCCATATTATTATTTTCTCTAATCCTCTTTCCCCAACACATGAAACACCATACACACACACACACACACACACGCACGCACACCACACAAACAAATACATATACATGTACACATGCATGCACTCTCACGCGAACAACTATACACGCACAGGGTTGAGTCCCTTGAAGAAAATCTTGATATTGTCCAACATTTTCTAGTTTCTTCTCTAAAACACCAACAACTAATACATGAGAAGTTGATGAAGATTTGTGTATACACAGAGTGACATTTTAGCAACTGTGCCCACCACCGCACATCACCTCCTGATGACAAGGTATTCTTCAGTTATAAAAACATTAATTGGAAATCAAGTTAGATTCCTTCTATGCATCACAGACAAAAATAAGTCACAGGTACATTAAAGATCTATATGTAAACAATTGTAAAAACACTTGCAAAAATCAGAACATTTGGATAGCCTTGGAACTGGGAAAAATTAAGCAAAGGGAAAAAATACTTTTAAGCTATGAAAAAAGGAGAGATTCGATCACATAAAAATGAAAGGCTTCAAAGAGCAAAAGATACCATAATCAATACCATAAATATGACACCATAAACAAAGATTATAACAAAATTATAGATTGGAAGAAAATATTTTCAACACAAATAATATACTAAGAACACTCTCAAATTATTAACAAGAAAAATAACCCAATAGAAAAATGGCAAAGAACATAAACTGGTAAGTTATAGAAGAGAAAGCAAAATGAACAATAGTCACAAAAATTTTTTTTTTAATGTGCCATCTCAAATAGTACATAGGAAATTAAAATTAGCACAACGATATAATATTTTATCAGTTAAAAATTTCAGAAGATTAGGAATATCCAGTGGCAACATGAGACAGCTGGTTCTGTCATAGAGTGTTAGGGAAAGTATAAATAACCATAAACTTTTAAAAAAGTCATCTAACAGTGCATCCACTCTGATACAAGAATCCCATACCTGGGTATTTTTCAGGCTATTTAAAATATCAGTGGATAAAGCTAGTTGTCTGCGATGCTTGTTAAAGCAGTTTTTGTAATTAAAAAAAAAAAACTGAAAATAACCTAAATGTTATTCAAAATGTGACAAATTAGGCAAAACCTGTGCCATGGAACATTGAACCTCTGCTTTATACCCCACTGTCCACACGTGTGACTCCGTACTTCAATCTCCTCGTCTATAAGATCAAAGTAACACTGGAACTCACATCACAGATTTATCAGTGTTAACTTGGAAGGACTTTTACTACATATTGCTGAGTCAAAAACAAAAGCAAAAGCAATTTGCGGAATTACAGATGTTCTCGCAAAATGTGTGTATGCCTATATTTATCTGTAAGCTTTATGCAAAGGGCCATTGCAGTCTTAAAGCCTACTGGTTTGTGAAAGGCTCCTTAATTTAAAGCCCCTTTTTTGATGCCATGTGCCACCCAATTAGCCCAGCTGAGGGTGATACAGTCACCCCCCTAAGACGAGGTGCAGTGAAGACGGGTGTGTGTTTGTGTATGGGTGCACGTGGGGTGATTTGGGGGCGAATGGGAGAAGAAGATTTTGTGGAAGAAACAAATACCTTTGGAGGGATTAGACATCGCCTTGAGTTCTAATCCTGACCTTTTACATTTGTGTACAGAAGTAAAATCGTCCCCTCCTCTTTTTGAACCAATCTCTGCACTTGAGAAATGAGTACGTGAAGGGACCCAGTGAGGCCATATCCATACCAGGCCTGGCACAGGGCACTCCGGCCAGCCCAGCCCTGCTCCAGGCCACCCCCGAGTGCTGAGCCCACCTCCTCTTCCTCCATCCTGCCCCCTTCTTCCCTGCACCCAGCCTAGGCTGTCTTCTTTTCCTTCTCTGAAGAGAAGAGGCACTAGCCTTTGGGCTTGTCACTGTGTCTTAATATAACCTGTCTGCCTGTGACTTTCCGTTTACTGTGACACTAATTCCTTCTCCAATGAAGTGATTCAGGGTCCCCGGACAAGTAAAAGCATGATTTCAGTCATACACACACAGAGACGAAAGAAAACGGGGCTCTGTAGCCCTTTTCTTGACAAATCTTTCTAAATAAGAAAGCAAGCTCCCGATGCCCAGAAGAGGGAAAAGATTAACTGTAACAATTTCACATTATCGAAAACCTGCATTTAAAATCATCGACCCTTTAAAATAACTTGAACAGACAGAGAAGGGCAAAGTAATCTGTCTCTTTGCAAAGGGCGCGTCGACTCCTGAGAAATGATGGGAAAACTGGAAGCAAAAGTACCTGCTTGGCTGGCAGCTAAGTGTCCCGGCAGGTCCAGCAAGTCCCATGGGCATTCCCTCAGACCTGTCCTGACGACAAGGTCACCTCTCTTACTACACAAACATGACTGTGCGCTGCTGTCCCGTGAGCTGCTGCAGGTCTGTGAGCTCCTCTCCCGACCGCCCCAGGGAGCTAGCTGGATGGGCGGGTGGAGTGCCTGGGGCTCAGGCGCTCTGGGGCCGGGGCTCCCTCCCACCGTTGAGGAGGTCCGTGAGCTCCCCGATGTACTTGATGGTGTACTTCAGCGTCTGGATCTTGGTGAGTGGCTGGCCCCTCTGGCTGTAGACAGGTGGCAGGTAATTCCGGAGGGTGTGCAGGGCATCTGCCAAGGTCCTCATCCGGAGCTTCTCCCTCTCGCTGGCCTTCCGTCTCCGCTGCACAGACATCCTGACTTTGGTGCCCTTCTGGGTTTTGGGGCCACCAGCGCCCTGCAGATAAGCAGGCTGGAAAGCTAACATATTATAGTCCACCTCCACCAGGCCGCCGGTCCCACGGACGCTACAGCCATCGCTGCCCCCATTGCTGGCAACTTCATGCCCACAGGGCAGCCCAGCCACAGCTGGACAGGGGGAAGAAGTATAAGACTCCAGCGACGGAGCCGGAGAGACGCTCTGAGCGGGGGAGGCCTGGTTCAGCTCAAAGGGCCCCGCCCTGGGTTTCCAGTCCCAGGACGACAGCAGGCCAGGGCTGGCGGCGGTGGAGCCCAAGCCATCTTCGAGGCTGAGGAAGGTCTCACGCAGGTTGTCCATGCCTGCGAGACAGCTACAGAGAGGACGGACGGACGACTCCCTGGCAAGTGAGAAAGCAAGTCCTGCCTCCGGCCAGGGCAGAAGTCTCTTTTATGATGGTGGGGGAGAAGTGATGAAGTGGGAAAGCAGGCCGGGAGAGGGGAGTTCAAAGGAGCAAGCGAGGACCAAGATGGAAGATGAACTCTTCAGGTGTCACTTTCTCCTCATCGATAATTAGCATCTTCTAGCTAAAATGTCTTTAAACAGAAAGGCCTCTGAGAGAAGAAAAAAGGAATTATCTTGTTGTAACTAAACCAATTAAGGCTGCATAACTAGACTTAGCATCGTCCTGTGGAAGTCATTAACTAGGGAGCCAAAGAAAACAAACGTGGGGCACTCTGCAGCAAGGTGGTGGCCAGGGGCCTGGCAGAGAGCAGCGGAGTGCCCCAGAGGGCCTCCACCCCATCCTCTAAGGCCTCCTGGACATTCCAGAGCAGACGGGGTGTACTGCTGGAGAAACTGCTGGAGAAACTGTGGTCTGGGGAGGAGGTAACCCCTCTGAGCTCGGATTCTCTCATATGTCAAACGCGGGCAATAAACAGTTCTTATTTCATAGGGCTGTTTCATAGGGAGGAGGGTACACAGCAGGCACATAACGGATGCCAGTTTCCATCTTTCCTTCCTCTTTAGCAAATTTCTTTAGGTTTTGTAGAGCGCAGACAAGCCCCTAACATCCTACACGCAGAATGACAGAGGCCAGAAGCTCCAGTAAATCCAGAGAGCCTAACGAGCAGGAAATATCATCATTCAAGAAGCTCAAAGCCTTTGTCTTAACTGAGCCGACCGGGGTTCCTCCACAGCGAACAGAAGAGAGTAGGTCCCTTTAAAGCAGGGAATTTGTAGAATACCTGGCATTGATACTTCTGAAGGTTTTTTTTTTTTTTTTAATCCAGCTGCAGAGTCACACCTAGTTTTTGAAATGTATAGAGGAAGTGTGAAATTAACCAGAGAGCCGGGCTGTTTTCCCCACCACAGCTCCAGCTGCCTCCGAATGTGTTAAGTTGGATGGTCCTGCTAGTTTGCTCCACTTCCTACAGGCTCTGAGAGATAGACCCTGTGTTTTGGGAAAGGTCATCTCAGATCCCCATTTGTTCCGTGAAAGTTACTTATTCTCCATGTCACTGATTCTACAAATTAGTATTAACATCGGAAACACTGTGAGTGATATTTTAGAGTAAAATCAACATGTCCTCTGACGTGATTATTTAAGGCTCCTTTGCAATTATTGAAAAAAAAAGTGGTCTAATTAAAACATTTATGGTATTTTTTAATTAGCTTGGATCAGAGAAGAAAAAGCTCAAGCAGACAATGTGTAGAAGAATGCTCTTAATTTTGCAATTTACTTAAAGACTCTCAGCCGTATCTGGAAGAATAATAACTTTAATGAAACAATAAATGTAGTCATTTCTCCTTTCTCTGCTTCTCTTCCTTTTCCTTCAGCTCTTATTGAGAAGCCTAGAATCTGTTGATACTATTCAAGGAACTTTACATGGTATTTAATTAACTTTTATTTAAAACAAAAAAAACAAAAAACATTTTACAGATGAAAGAACTAAGGATCTAAGAGATTAAAAGTCTCAATTAAGACGACAGGGATTGGTGAAGCCAGTAGGAAGTGGCCAAGTCAAGATCCTTTGTAAAACCTTAGAGTTCACCATTTTTTAAAGCAAAAATCTATTTTTCTATTTCAGGTGTCGTGGTAGAGGCAAGTGACCTACCTGAATGTGATTCAAAGAGAAGGGGACTCCCAGTAGACCCAAGGTGGCAGTGGTGGCCACTGTCACAGTCTGTGTTCAGTTCTTATAGTCTAAGCATCATGGTTTCCATATAATATTACTTCAGCTCTCAGATTCGACAACTCTTTTTCCATAGCTGCTTTCTAAAATTGCTAATTTCTAAAACTTCTATTATCAGGAATTTCCTTTCCTGAATGAGACAATGTCCGTGGTACAGTGTGGACACTTCATAAGTGTAGGTTCTGTTCTTATTGTCACCAGTATTGGAACAACTTACTGTGCCCTGACTCCTCTACCACTGACATCAGACGGACACCCAGCTTTGCTGGCCCCCCAAAACCTGTTCTTAGAACAAGGAAGCTGCCTAGTTTCCATGTTTGTCGATGTTCTCTCTCCGTCTCCAGACAGAAACAAAGCAGAACCAGACTCGCGTTTATGCTGCTGGTCTCCACGAAGCATTCTGTGTGCGGTCTGTGTGATGGACGTGCGGGACCATGGAGCCTGGGAGCCATCGCTCCGCGTGCTTGGGGACAGCATGTTGCCAAGAGGCCAACGCGGCGCCAGATCTTATTCTTAACATAGATTCACATAGGCTAACTCACACTAATCCTCGCAACAACCCTACAAAGTAAGAGCTGTTATCATCACCCATCCTGTTCTGTTAATAAGAAACTGAGTCACAGAGGGGTTATGTAACTTCCCCAAGACACCGCACCTAATTACTGGCAGCCCCAGGATTCAGCCCCAGGCAGGTTGCCTCAGGCCCAGGCTTTTAACCACTGGCTAAATCAACTGGGAACAGTTGGAGGCCTCAGCATCATCATCCCTGTAGTGCTCTTGAAGCCTGAATTCGAGTTGTAACTGCAGCTCAGTCAGTGTGGGAAAACTGATTGATTGGTACCATTCTTACGTAGCCAGTGTCTACAGAGCACCTGAAATGGCTCAGTGTATTAGACACCGTAGGGGCTAAAAAGATGCAATAGGTTTGGACTCTCCATTTTCCTTCCTAAATTAGATGGTGAGATAGGTAAGCACCACAAAACTCATCTCTACCCCGGTGAGCGGACAGGCCTGATTCTTCTAAAGGGAGGGCTGTGTGTGTGACCTGCACAGGGACCCCCTTTCTTAGCTATACCTGTAGTTATCTCAGTGACGGTAACAGTAATAATAATAAACTTATTTAGTGCTAAATGCTTTGTATAATTTATTCCATTGAAATCTTACAAACATTCTTTAAAGAAAGTATTCTTTTTGTTCCCATTTTACACGAGGGAAAAAAAAACTGAGTCTTAAAGAAGTCGAAAGAGTTTTCCAAAGTCACGATTAAAAAATGGAGTTGCCACACTCGGGACCCAGGCAGCCTGACTATGGAGCACTGGGCTCCAGCGAGTGATTTATATCGCAGGGGAGAAAACCGGGCGGGGGTTGGGGGAGAGTTAAGAAAGGGCCCTAGCTGCATGTCGTAAGGTTACAACTTTGGATTCATAGTTCTAGAAGAAAAGGCATCTGTCTCCCCCTACCACTTTCTAGTACTTTCCCTGGCCTTAGGCCACACAATTATCTTTATTAAACAACAGGTATAGTTGATATTTAGATTTATTTTCTCATTACTGAAAATTTTAGAAAGAATATCTTATTCACTAATAAATAAAACACTTTACTTATTAATATCAATAATAACATTAAAAATGCTTCCCTTTGATTGAGTACTTACATCACTCTGGGCCAGGTGCTAAAATGGAGAGCCTCACATGCTATTGGGTAAAGGTAAGCATCTGACAGAAGAGGAAGCAAAACTCAGATGCTAAGTACCTGGCCCAGAGTTAATGGACACAGCTTCTCCTTTCAAGGCCACAGCTTCAACCAACACCTCTGTGGCTGACACACCCAGAGCCACGTACAGTAATGCAGCCATTTCCCGACCTCGCTGTCTCCAATCCAACTCTGAGCTGATCACAGATGTTCAGTGGACCCTGGTTTCAATAGCTGTCTTTGGCCATTGGGGTGTACACACTCCTCTGATCTTTGTATACTCCAAGGTCCCTATTCACAGCCACAGCCACACACCCCTCTGGCTGAACCAGCCCCTGGCCTGACCAGCCACTGGCCTGACCGGCCACTGGCCTTCCTCTTGGGCAAGGAATAGGGCCAGTGCTTGAATGCAGTTAGGACTAAGTTGAAAACCTGGATCCGTTCACGCCATCGCAATCTTGGCACCCAACTAACACTCAGCCAAGATAATTTTTGATAATTCTTGAATTATTGAAATAATTCTTGTGGTACGAAGGGAGTATGATATGTGTGTGTATTAAAAGAAAACACCTAAGTGCAATGTGATGTCTTCCTATGTCTTTGAGCTAGTAATGAGTTATTTCTCATAAAAGTAGCAATTTCCTACCTGGTTTCTGACATAGGTCTCCCAGGCTGTTACGCTTGTGAAAGTAATACACTGTGGGTGTATTACTTTCTTAGCCCTGCCGTTACTCTCGCTACAAACTAGGGAAATAACGAAAGTTTTGGGCTCTCCTGATGTGAGTTTCAGGTCCATTGCAAAGACAAAGAGCACTCTTTTGGTTTTAATCCTCCTCAAAATAAATTGTAAAGCATCACGCAATGTACAAACAGGAGATTTTCACAGGCTAGGTATTTCACCAGTACAAAATTGCAGGAAAAAAAAATAGGAAATAATGTGGCTTGCTTCACAGGAGAGATGAGAGACAGAAGACAAATATGCTGACCTGTAGAAATCCTCCAGAACAGAAACAGAAAACCCTTGTGAACTTCTCAAGCCATTTCGGAGGGGGATTTCCAGACCCGAAATAATGCTTATCTCCAGCCCCTTCACTAAGCGACATCACAAGGAAGGACAGACCTCAGTCCTACACGTCTGTATGACCTCCTTTCTCCTCAGGCACACTGACGGCCTGAGCTCCACATCCTAAGTCCTCGACCCGCTCCTCAGCCAAGTGCCATGTGGATTTTCCTTGCCAAGTGAATGTAGATGGAAGCCAAGACTTTTCCTAAGAATAGTCCATTTCCAGGTAGCCATGTCCCTGTGGGGTCTCTATGGTGTCTGATCAGAATGTAAGCCTCCTTCACTTTTGAAAATGTGACTAAATACATTCATTTGGAAGGGAGAAAATCCAGTCGCTATGTCTGCACGAAATGAGCGGTGATGTGGAGGATGGGGGGCGGGTTAGAGGGGTAGCAGAGGACTCAACTCTG